GAGAGAGAGAGAGAGAGAGAGAGAGAGAGAGGTTGTTGTGTTATGATTAACAATTAAACTAAATAATTATTCAACCAATTAAAACTGACCAGGTTCAACGGGTGTACCAAAGGGGGTTGTGGTCACTCACAAGCAAATACTGGCTGCGTTTCACTCTATACGGACGCTGTTTCACGAGCGATTCGACCACCCGGAGCCCAGACAAACCTACCTGGCCTATCTGCCCCTATCGCACACGCTAGAGTTTTGCGCCGAGGCATACCTATTTAGCTGTGGGGTAAAAATAGGTTACGGCACGCCATACACTCTAACCAACGCGGGCACAGCCTTACCCGAGGGCACACCGGGCGACATAACACTGCTCAGGCCTACGTTCATGGCATCCGTGCCCCTCATACTGGACCGTATACGGCGGGACATTGAGCTGAATGTGTCCAAACGTGGTCAATTGTTTAAGAGTATTTTCAACTATATCATTGAGTATAAGGTCCAGTGGCTGCGCCGGGGCTTTCGCACCCCTATCATCGATAGGTTGATCTGTTCGGGGATCAGGTCTCAGATCGGAGGCCGACTGGAGTTTATGATGGTGGGCGGCGCACCGCTCAACGTGGACACTCATGATTTCTTACGAGCTTGTTTGAATATTAAGTTGTGTCAGGTGAGTTGTTTTGCTATTATTTTGTTAATAATCTAGTTTAGTTAACATTAATTTGCATACCTGTGTTAAAACACATAAACAGGGCTATGGGTCGACAGAGTTGATAGCGTCGGCCACATCCATGGACTTTGACGACCTGAGCACCGGCGGCATCGGTGGGCCCCTATTCGGTGTGAAAATACGCTTGGTCGATTGGGATGAGGGCGGCTACAAAGTGACCGACCAGCCCGAGTCCAGGGGCGAGGCTGTGGTGGGCGGACATAACGTGGCCCTCGGCTATCACGGGTTGGACGAGTTGACTGCCGAGGCGTTTGAGACCACTTTGACGGCTACGCCAACAGCCGAGCGCCGGATGCGGTGGTTCAGGACCGGCGATATAGTGGCCGTTTCGGCCGACGGCCTGTTCCGCATCATTGACCGCAAAAAGGATTTCGTTAAACTCCAGTTCGGAGAGTATATATCATTGGGTAAAGTAAGTAGCTAATAATTTCACCTTGATGGGGGGTGGGTGTTATTAGATAAGCGTTAATTACATATTTAGTTGTAACCATGTTTACTTGTGATTAATTAAACTAAAACTTAATAATTATTTAAATTTCAGACAATATATTTGGTGTGTATCTAGATTGTTCTTAGATTGAACAAAACTAATCACATTTATGTGTATAATTCTTACATTCATTCAAATTATGATAAATTCTTAACTCAATTTTGGTCACCGATAGGTGGAGTTAGAACTGAAAAACTTCCGGTTTGTGGACAATGTGTGCGTTTACGGCGACTCTTACCGGTCATACCTGATAGCCATCGTAATACCCAACCAGAAGGCCATGCAATCGTTGGCCGAACAATTGTTGACCGGGGTGGAAAGCGACAAACTGATCGACCTGTGCCGTAATCCCAAAATTATTCACCACGTACAGAATGAGCTACGCCAGTACTGTCAACAAGGTGGAAAGTTGCACAAAATGGAGATACCGGCCCGGGTTATGCTGTGTCCAGAGGAATGGACCACGGGCAATGGTTTAGTCACACCGGCGCTTAAAATTAGGCGCAAAAATATACAGAATTTTTACCAAGCACGAATTGATCAACTCTATGCATAGTTGTTATAGGGAATAGTGAATAGATTTTTTGGATCTGGATGTTTATTGTGCATATTTTTATCCCATAAGTCGACCATGTGTATGTATGTGTGGGTGTGTGTAAAATCATTAATAAACTTGTTGCATTTTTTAATTGAGATTAATTTTTTGTTACATTATTTTGCATAACAAATTAGTTTATAAAGAACCCTGGTATATTATTTGTATTGTACACTGCTCATCTATTTCTAAATATTTAAACAATTAATTAAACAAATGATAATTCATATTATGAATTAATTGTGTAACATTGGTTATCATACAAATTATCAATGAACCATGATTACTGACTTGCCCAGTATTTCAGTTTGGTCACACCTGATTCATTGTTTTGGTTATAGGTAAAAATCACATAGTATTTCTAAACCACAATATAGAAGTTTCTAGATTGTTTACCAAAAAATAATGACTTATTGAACACGTTTAATATAAAAATGTCATAACCTTTAAGCATACAACAACAAACACCAAAAAACCAAACAAGGTTACATCTAATCTCCCACAACATACAGTACAGTAATATTTACCTGAAATAAAAACACAACTCAATTCAACCCAACCATTCATTTCAGCGCTCAATACTTACACGTTATAACAAACAGGTATTGTCTTCGCAAAAAACATACCCTAAGTCGCCGACCATAACCATCGCTTGTGCAGCTAATGCTATCAAAACGACAGCGTCGGTCATTCGACCGGTTCGACGACCAGTTGGCTGAGACCCTGCTCAGTTATCTGCCGATCGCCATCGCCTTTCTATACGAGCCGGTGTGCTGGCGCTGGCAACGGGTCATATACACCCGGCACCGGGCGCTGCACCTGTGGCAACCGGTCACCACCAATCAATTCCAGCTAATATTGCGCAAGTGCGTCCACGTGGAGCGCGTTACCATCCCTGGTCAGTTGTTGCGGTCGGACATGTTTGAAACGCTGGCCCGACTGTGCCCACAGCTCCGGGCGCTGGACGTGGAGATGGCTCCGGAGGGCGCCACCGTTGGCGACATCGAGGCGCTCAGGGCTTTGTTGACCACTCACGGGCACCGGTTGGCGGAGTTGAGGTGCGAGTTGAGTGGCGATAGGGCGACTTTATTGTTTCTCAAACGCAAACTTAAGCTCTTTGGCAATCTTCGGGAAGTACTGCTGACATCGATGGGCAGTAACAAGACATTGTCAACGCTGGTGGGCCCGACCGGTGGCGCTGGCGTTGGGGCCAAGAATCGGGTGCCACTGTTGCCATACCTGTGCCGTCTGTCCATCGGGTATAAGCGCGACGATTGGCGCCGCTTTCACTCAGTGATGACCAACTATGGCCACAGTCTTCGGCGACTGTCTGTCCAGATGGCCGAGTGTTGCGATGCGGAGGCCATCTATCGGCTGATAATGGGTCTGTTGGCCGCCCCGACGCTACGAGCGCTGGACCTCAAGTGCGATCAGGGCTTTGAGTATCAGCTCCTGGTTAATGGCCTCAGGAATGTGTACAACTGTACGCCAGCGCTGATCAAACTGACCATCAGTTTCGCGCTCTTCTCGTGCCACTCGGCCGACGATCTCTTGGAAGTAATTGGCCTGAAGTTTGGTCNGCTTAACCTGGAGCCCCTGTACCTGTGCCCGAGCCTCACTCATTTAACCATCAATACTTATATGAGTCCATCGGATCACGTGCTAAATCTGTGCTATTATCCGGTGTTTGGCCGCTGCCATGAGCTGATCCCTGGCTTAAGACACTTGTCATTGTCTAATATCGAGTGCACCTACTGTTTGATGCGGTCATTGGCCCGACTGTCTCGACTCCAGACGCTAGCCATAGGCACTAACGGCACCCCCGATGATGACTGTCTGCTCGATATAATAACTAATCATTTTGTGGATAATTGTCCAAAAATTACCCACATTTCGATCAATGAACGCAATTTGTTTTGTTAATTTGCAATGTGTTTTTGCACTTGGTTAATTTTTTGTATTTATTGTTTCAATAATTATTATAGCTGTGATTGTGTTATCTAATTTAAAACAATAATTTAATTTAAAACATGTTAATAACTTTTATATTGAATATATGTGTTAATAATCAAGTTATTTGATACTAAATATTACTTGATACTAATTTAGTATAATTGATTATATTTAAACCAGTCTTTGTCATCAATTATAATGTTAATTACTTATTAATTAAATATTTTTGTAATATAAATGCTATGAATTTACAAGTAAAAAAGTTGTTAATTATATTAAAATTAATTTAATAACCTATTAATTGTAATTAATTTGTAAACTTTTTATAAATAAATCAATGATTAAATTAAAACATATTTTTAAAAATTAAAATATGATTCTTAATTTAATAATTAGTGTAAATATTAAGATTAACCATAGATTTTGTTGTAAATGCTCTACCATGTTTGCTATTTGAAACCTGGTTTAGTTAATCCCACTTGTTTAACCAGTTCATGGATTTCTAATACTTCCTATTTATTTAAAACATGGCTTTATATTTGCTTCGGATTTAATTATAAAAATGTTTATTATGTTTAGAAAACAATAAAAATTATTATCACGTGAAAACAAATAATCAAATTAACAAATTTAAATGTTATAACAGTTAATTAAATTAAACTTAACTACAAATTCTACTTATAATTAACAAATAAGTGTTTAGTTAAGTACAGTACTGCACTGTAAACCCATACGAGTGGACACCAAACAACATACAGCACTCTTCATAGGACTAACATTAGCTCCACATTAACTCAACAGTCAATTCACAGCAGAGATACTGTAAAGTAACCCAAACTTTTGAAACAACTATTTTAACGCAAACTTCACTTCATTTTTAAGCCACAAATCAATTGATAATTAAGTGTTTGATTTGATTGTCACTCAAAGCCAACGAAGACAACCGGACGGACAGACAGCGGAATGAGTCAACGGTACAGCACTGGCAGCTCTATTGGCAACGGCGGCGGTGGTAGTCGTGTAGTCGCGCCGAAGACACCCCATCAAAGTGTACGTCGACTCAGGCCTCGGCACCGCTACTCAGTGGCCGCCGCCGACAGTGGCCTCAATCTGGCGGTCAATGGCCAGCAGTACGACGACAACGAGGAGGACCCGGAGCTGGCGGTGGAGGTCGACGACGTGTTTGTGGAGGCGGCGGGCAATCACCCGAAGCTGCAGCCACAGCAACAACAACAACAACATCAGGAGCCGCAGGTGTTCTTCGAGCCCCCGGCGCCCGTGCCGTCAGTGGTGGCCACGCCGTCGATGGTGCTGAGGAGTAGGGCCCGGTCGGGCTCCAGACAGCGGCAGCAGC